TTAACGTTGGTTTTTAGAAGTTTATCCTTTGTTCTTTGTATATCTTGATCCAAATCCGACCAATTTGCAAACGGTTAAAAGATTTAAAGAGCTTATTATCTCTAGTTTTAACATTACAAAAAAGATGGATTTAACAATTTATCAGGTGTCATGAACTTTTTAATAAAACAAAAATTGATGGGCAAAAGTCTTTCAACATGAAATTTTCTGTTTTTCCTATTGATTTCTGGTTGCTAACTCTGATTTTTTAGATGCCCTTTTTTAGATTTTAGATACTTATCAACTCCGGACAAGGAGAACATCGTCGAAGCTCGAAAAATGGAATGTCTAGAAAAGTCGAGCTCTTCCGCTGTACCGAAACTGTATCGCTTGTTGTCTCCAGGGCCAAAATCGCGGGAAACGTTGATCGTGCATCAAAAAGTGGACGTCCACTAGTTACAACTTTATGAGAAGACAATGAGACAGACGTCCACTAGTTACAACTTTATGAGAAGACAATGAGACAGACGCCCACCAGTTGCAACTTTACCAGAAGACAGCAGAAGACAAAACCAACGTTAAAAGACATTTGTCCATGACTTTGTCAACTAACTTGTAACAAACTATTCTTCAAAAAGAGCTTTTGCTTGATAGCGGTGGCATTTGAAATGATCAAATTCGATTGCAGAATCGCGAAATACTTGACAATGAGACTGATGAGAAAAGAAAAACAAGCACAATTCATGGCAATGAATGCGATTGTTCCGCCATTGAATAGGACACTCGTTGTGAGTTTGAGATAAATTATGTGCTGAGTGAGATCAAGTTGGACTTCAGTCTAAATAATATTGGTCTCAATGAATTGGGGCACCGTTTTGACACCTTTTTGCTGGAATAAAGTGAAGTTTCTTTCAATAGTCATTCGCCTGTGTTTCTCTCGGTTTTTTTCTTTAACTTCTTTAACTTTGCAAAAAACAAAGTTATTTTACCCAAATTGACTGTTAAGTCGTTCAAATTAGCCTTGTTTTTCTCCTTTTTCCTGGCTACAATTGTTCCGCGAGAACATTTAAATGCAAATGCAAAAACGATAACGTTTCCTAGGCATTGGATAGCTTTGAAAGCGTTTATTAGAGTTTTTACTTGAAAATGTTAATCTTCAAAATCCTGTAGTACAAATCCTGTAGTACATTTACTGTAACATTAGAAAGCCATTAGAAAGCCTAGTGAAAGCTATTAGAAAACCATTCGAAAGCCTAGTGAAAGTCATTAGAAAACCATTCGAAAGTCTAGTGAAAACCATTAGAAAGCCATTAGAAAACCATTAGAAAGCCTAGTGAAAGTCATTAGAAAGCCATTAGAAAGTCTAGGGAAAGTCATTAGAAAACCATTCGAAAGTCTAGTGAAAAACAATAGAAAGCCATTAGAAAGCCATTAGAAAACCATTAGAAAGCCTAGTGAAAGTCATTAGAAAGCCATTAGAAAGTCTACGGATAGCCATTAGAAAGCCATTAAAAAACCATTAGAAAGCCTAGTGAAAACCATTACAAAACCACTAGTGCCCCACTCTCTAGTTCCACTCACTCCATCATTGATGAAAATCGGCACAGCGGTCAGAAAAATCACGAACCCTCCATTCAAACAAGAAACCAAGGCAATAAAACTAGAAATTAGATCATTGATGTCAGAAAGCATTTCTATTTTTTTGTCTCTACTTTAGCGCTAGGCGTTTTCTGTCATCTTTTGGAAGAATTCTTCGCAAAGCGCCGATAAAAAGGAATTGAAGAGAAAACGACATTATGGAGGCGGAAAGGAAAAGGAGAATCTGAAAAGAATCTGAAAAACTTAAACAATGTTTTTAAATATCTAAAGTACCGTTTGCACTCGAACATCAATATTTAGAAAACTAAAAATGCCGACGAATTGAATGGATATCTCATCGTGCTCAGCTGTCATTCTCATTGGACAAAATAAACCGAAATTTAGATCAAGAAAAGTAGCACCAAACTAAAGCTTGTAGAAGATAGAAGATATCGATAGAAGATAAGACTCAGATTTCAAGGTACAATTGATAAATGGACATACAATAGATCAATCCCGTTTCTACTAGATCTGAGCTGTTTCAAACTCAAGTAAGACTAGGCCAGAAGTGAAATCCAGAAGCCAAAGACCTTGCCAACCTAATCTGGCTTTCATCTCTTTCTTCCTTTCTCTTCCCCTTGTATTTCCTCTTTCTTTTCTGGCAAGAAGATAACAGATAGCTCAGTGGTTAAAGCATCTGCCTGGAAATCAGTCGAAGATCGAGAGTCCAATCCCTCTCCGAAAATCTATCTTTACCAATCGTTATTACTATGGTCAAAAGCCAGCCACACATCATAAGGTTTCTGGTTTGGTTTGATTATGCTTTCTGACTAGGCTTTGGTTAAAGTATTCTTGAACTGGTCTACAAGAATCTAATACTGATCCTAAATGAACTGGTAACGAGTTTCACTAAGTAATATCGTTCGTCAATTTGGCACTAATTTTCAGCTACACTTGCACCATCCACTAAGAAAGAGAAAGAGAGAGAGAAGGAGAAGAAAGATAAAAAGAGAGAGAGAGAGAAGGAGCAGAAAGAGAAAGAGAAGAGAGAAAGAGAAAGAGAAGAGAGAGAGAGAAGGAGAAGAAAGAGAAAGGAAAGAACGAGAAAGAGGAGAAAGAGAAGAAAGAGAAGAAAGACTCTACAACTATCCTAAATTTGTCAGTTCCCTATTTATAATGAAATATATACATTTCTACATTCAGAACTCACATGTGTGAAGGCAATATATCTCGATTGTATTCTCATTTCCCGTGGAGCTTTCAGAATAATAATGATAATAAAGAAAAGATTGTTAATCGAACAGAAACCTAGACTTTATGAGAAAATTTTCGACCCTAATCACTCACTCGTAGTGAAATAAGTAAAACGGATGAGACCTAGGGGATCTTCAAATAAATCCATAAATTTGAATTTCTCAAATTTCCGAGAAATTTTCGCAAGCTTTGATGCCAAAAATCACTCATTTTCGGCTCACTCCGCGAAAATCACATTTCCTTTTTTCCCCTTAGCCAAACGAAAATGTAAATCAGTTTTTCTGACGTTTTCTCATCAAAATAACGATAAGTTCAAGAAAATAAAGTATTTTTTTGAAAAAAGCCAGATTTATCTTGTTAGAATTTATGATTTTTGATCAGTTAATCTTGAAAATGCTTACCGTAAATACTGTAATAGTACCCCAGCCCCGTAATGACGGTGTGGAGTGTTGCGTAGTCTAGCTTTGAACGAGTTTTTCTCGACACTGGTTTATGCTACAATTGGCCGATTACCCAATGCCAAAATAGAAGTTGTAGAATTGTCTAGGCTGATCAAAATGGTGCAAAAATCAGCTGCCCATACGCCCGCCCGATATCTGGCATAGAAGTTTGCGACATCTCGCTTAAAAGGCTTCTCTCGAGCGATAATGACGAAGCGAGCGAAGTGTTGCGTAATCTAGCTTTGAACGAGTTTTCCTCGACACTGGTTTATGCTACAATGCGCGCTTAGGTATCAAAAAATAGCTGAAATTCAGGGCTATTTTTTGATACCAAAGACGAATTTACGGTAGCTTTATGATGCGCGGTGCGTCAATGTGTTAAAACTAGATCAGAAGCACTGCGACATTCCATATATAAAAAGATCGAGAAGTTAACTACTAGAAACTTAGTGTATAAAATCAAATTAAAACTGTGGAAATGAACTACCGTAAAGACTGCAATAGTACCCCACCCCCATAATGACGGTGCGGAGTGTTGCGTAGTCTAGCTTTGAATGAGTTTTTCTCGTCACTGGTTTATGCTACAATGCTCGCTTAGGTATCAAAAAATAGCTGAAATTCAGGGCTATTTTTTGATACCAAAACTCTATCTACTATACTTTTATTTCCATTTTAATTTCCCCACCTTCTTAGCGCTTGCCTCATCTTGAAACATGGCGATACAGGTGGCAAGAGGATCGGCCAACTTTACAATGACACTAAACTTTACATAAAGTTACAGTAAATTTGTCTTAGGTATCAAAAAATAGCTGAAATTCAGGGCTATTTTTTGATACCAAAGACGCATTTTTTGAAAGTACGGGCGCTTTGAAAAAAATGAAATACTGAAAAACTTTTGCGACTACGCGACTGAACGAGGGCGGTGGGGTACTATTACAGTATTTACGGTATGCTTTGTGAAGCAATAGTTAACTTTGGGCGAGTGCACAATCGCTCGCCATCTGACGCACAGGGCAGATAGATATGAGTGAGAAAGCGGCCGCAAAGTTGGTTTAATTACCCAAGTTTGAGGTTAGTATCAACTTAAACGCCTTGCATGTTTCAAGAAATTTTGAGGAGAATTCCTTCTTGGAAAATCCAAAAGCCTCAGCCGAAAGAATTCCTCTATTTTACAGATTTACCTATGAAGCTGATGCTGTACTCCGATAATAAAGAAATTAAAGCTGAAAATTCGAAAAGTAATTCATTACTTTGTGCAAAAGTAGATTTCCAATCAGTTGAGCTCATTGGCAAAAGCAATTCAAACACTTCGGATTCCCAAATCGTCTCCGATCCAAATAATAACCGAGCCCAACGTTGCTTAACTTGGCAGAGCAGACGAGATGCCATCTTTTCAACGTGGTAAGCGGTGAAAGACGGCTGAAATTGTGAATCTTGTAAAATGTCATAAGCAAAATTTTCCCTCATTTCACTTTTTCACTTTCACCTCAAATTTTGTGGAGAAAGTGTTGAGGGTGCGGGTTCTTATCTTTTTGAAGGGTTTCCAATCCAAAATCGGGGATTAATCCCCAATTTTGCTCACATTGCTTCCATTGCTTCCATTCGGCGTCATCTGGAAAGTGAATCTGGGGAAAAGTGTGGAGATAAGAGGGATTTCTTGATTATCACACTCATAAATACTCGGGCTGGAGGTCAGAGAATTTCTCCATTTTTGATTTCGCCTCAAAATCAGCACACAGAAAGCAAAAAATGTTCAAAGTCATCCTATCCGGTTTGTTCGTTGCTCAAGATTACTGTAGTTTTGAAAAATTAGGATTTATTATTTATTTATTATTTGTTTTTTACTTGTGAGCTATATTTATATTGGTTTAAATTAGTATTTATTCTTGGATTATCACATCAAAAGCCCAGTATCGTATTTCGCTGTTCGAAAATGTGTCCGTCTGAAAAGCTATCGTAATCTAGCTAAAAATCGACCGTAATCTAGCTAGAAATCTACCGTAATCCAAAGCTCATGAAGAAAATGATAAACTTAAAAGAGATACGGTAGCTTTCAGATTACGATAGCTTCTTTAGCTTTTAGAAGCCGACCGTTAAAAGCCATTTTAAACCAGATTCCTGTAAAGACGCTTATCGTATAAATGTAGTAGAACTGTTCTTAGCTGCTTACTTTTTCATCATTTAACTAAAAAAAACAAAAAGGATTAATATAGAGGGGATTCGAACTCGCGCAAAAAAAGCTCGTGAGCGCTCGCACTATCCATATAACAAAAAGCTCTTTTTAAAATTAAAATTTTTTTTTTTTTTTTTTTATTTTTTTTTTTTTTTTTTTTTTTTTTTTTTTTTTTTTTTTTTTTTTTTTTTTTTTTTATTTTTTTTTTTTTTTTTTTTTTTTTTTATTTAAATTTTTAAATAAAAAAAATAAAAAAAAAAAAAAAAAAAAAAAAAAAAAAAAAAAAAAAAAAAAAAAAATTAAAAAATAAAAAAAAAAAAAAAAAAAAAAAAATTAAAAATTTATTTAAAATTTTAAAATTAAATTTAAAAAATTTTAAATTATTTTAAAAATTTTTTTAAAATAATTTAAATTAAAAAAATATAAAAAAAATTTTTTAATTTTAAAATTTTTTTTTTTTTTTTTTTTTTATTAAAATTTTAAAAAATTTATTTATTTTAAAAAAATTTAAAATTTAAAAAAAAAAAAAATATTTAAAATTAATTTTTAAAAATTTTATAAATAATATTTTTTTTTTTTTTAAAAAAAAAATTATTTTTTTTTTTTAAATTTATTTTAAATATTTTTTTTAAAAATTTTTTTTATATAACGTAAAGCTCTATATAACAGAAAGCTCTATATAACGGAAAGCTCTCTATAACGAAAAGCTCTATAAACAGAAAGCTCTATATAACAGGAACTGCGCTACTACCATGCTTTCGATCGTAAAATAAGACCCATACTTTGATGCCCGATATCTTGCGATACAGAGCTCCATTAGAAAAACCAAAAGCGGATTCGGAATCCCCACTCAAAACTCTATCAAATACATCAAAAAGGCCATCTTTCCCTAGTTCGAATAGTGATTTGTAGGTTGTCTAAATGATGCGTATTTCAGCAGCTCTCCTCGTCTCGTACACCCTCGCCGCCGACTCTTGCACAGCTAATGACATCGCCGGTCTCAACAACTGTTACCAGGCTTTCGTCGGCGCTTACGGATTCTCGATGAGCAACGTTTTGCCACATTACTGGGATGTAAGCAGTTTGAGTTTTGAGATTTTAAAGAATAGATTTTCGATCTATTTAAAGCTATTTGAGGTTTAAAAAAACCTCTTCTTACTATAATTCTTTCAAGAAATAGTATAAAGATTAAATTTTAGATGCACCAAGTGCGCACCGGATGGCTTGATGCCCAAGGAGTCAAAGTGCAACCAAAGATTTGCCAGTGAGTTCAAGCTACATTACTGGACGATGAAATATCATATTTGAAAAAAGCTCGTCACTTTCGCGCGTCTGTAACTCTCTTGTCTTCGAGTTTAAACCATTAGTGTTATACATTTTCTGAAAGCTCTTTTCAAGGGCCACACAATGGTAATATTAATATTTAGAAATACGGTAAAAAAAACAGAAATACACTACGGTAGATAGAATTTCTATCTACACTACGGTAGATAGAAAGCTTTCTAGGTAGATATAAAGCTTCCTAGGTAGATAGAAAGCTTTCTAGGTAGATATAAAGCTTTCTAAATAAACAAAATTAACTCTAGAAAGCAAACTTTTATTTTAAAATCTTTATTTGACATCAATGAACAACAAATTAAGTGTTATACATTTTCTGAAAGCTCTTTTCAAGGGCTACTCAATGGTAATGTTAATATTTAGAAATACGGTAAAGACAAGGGAGTTACAGACGCGCGAAAGTGACGATCTTTTTTCAAATATGATATTTCATGGTCCAGTAGTGTAGTTGATTCATCGAAACGAAATCATCTAATTCTTTAATATTTCAGAATCGGAAACAATTTGGTGAACTGTATCGCGAAATTCCCGTGTCTCTCCCAGGATACATTCTTGACGATGGGTGCTGACTCGACTGAGTCTCCCCGTTGGTTCCTCGACAAGATTGCCACCAAGTATCAATGTGGAGAGGGATATCAAGGTGGTTAAACTTGAAGTTTTCAAAAAAATTGATTAACTCATGGTCTTAACTATTGGCAAATCGTTTATGAATTGTATTAGACACGTGAATTTATTGATAAGCTTGTAAAGATTTTTAAATCCTTCTTTTTCAGTTCTCCTCCAAGATTACTACTGTATGGCGGCTTGCCGTGAGCACCGTGACGACGCGCTCTCCGCTTGCAGCACGATGATGCAAAACGAGATCGCTCAAGGAACCGATCCATGCGTGTAAGTTTAGAAGTAGAAATACAGTACACGCAATACAATAATCTGTAGTAAACTATGGTAATTTGTATCCAGTAATCTGTAGCTCTTTAAAGATTGCTTCAAAAACCTTTCCTTTTCTTGTAGTTCGGCCCAGTTACCACCTAAAAATATTGGTCTGATTTTCGCTTTACCAGAATATTAAAATCAAAATTATACTAGATCTTAAAAAGTTTTAAACGAGTTAACGTATTGAAGAAGAAGAAGAAGAAGAAGCGAAGAAGAGGAGGAAGAAGAAGAGGAAGAAGAAGAAGAATTGAAGAACGTATTGAAGAAGCCTACGCCTAAATGTAAAGTGTAAGGCTTAGGCCTCGACAGATCTATTAGAAATCAGTTTCTCGGCTAAAATGCATCATTTTGGTATACTGTGAGTGAGAAATGAGGCTTAGACTTTATATTTAGACTTAAGCCTCTTCAATACGTTCTTCAATTCTTCCTCTTCTTCTTCTTCTTCTTCCTCCTCTTCTTCTTCCTCTTCTTCTTTTCCTCTTCTTCTTCTTCTTCTTCTTCCTCTTCTTCCTCCTCTTCTTCTTTTTCCTCTTCTTCTTCTTCCTCTTCTCCTTCCCCTTCTTCTTCTTCCCCAATACGTTAACTCGTTTAAAACTTTTTAAGTTTAGTAAACTCCTTTACTTTACTTTGCCAAAGAATTTCAAATTTTTCAGAGCCACAAATGACATGATCACTTGCCAAGCGCAAATCTATTCCACCTATTGTGATTTCAACTCGGGCGCCTTCAACTGCGGACTCAACGAGGCTGTCATTGTAAGTAAAAGCTATTTGAAAAATGTACATTTAATCAATTTACAACAATCAATTTACATTTAGAGTATCTAGAATATCTTTTAATTGTACAGTTTTTCAAAAATCATTCATTTTCAGAAGGAGACCCAACCCGCTTGCACCCCGGCCCTCCAAATGTGCCCCAAATTCCAATTCTTTTAATTTTTAATAAACTTTCTAAATTTAAATATATGATAATGAAAATAAACAGGAAAAATTGAAGAAAGTAAAGCTTTGGGTACAGCAAGCGCATTCATTATGAGTCGCTTAATAGACAGCATTAAAAATCGCTATAGTCAGTTTTAAATCTTCAATCTTTTACAGATTTATATTATTAAAGTAGTTAAAGTTTAGTCCACATAAAGTTTCATTAATAGCATCTCTCGCTTTCGCTCACAGGCAATTCTTGTGCAAGACAGTTAGAAGAAAGTGTTTTGCTGAGGTTTCGCTTTGATTTGATCTTAGGCGTTCACAGTTGGTAAACTTGAATGTTTTGAGTAGTTTCCTCGTGCAAAATTTTGATGATTGTGTTTATGTGACATTTTCTTTTTCAGAATCATTCTTGATGAGCTCTTTGATCTGAATCTTTGATCCAACTTTCTCCAAAATCTCGGGGTTTGCAGGAGCGGGGTACCGTCGGGCGGAACCGTTCCGTAACCTCCGAAAGCTATCCCACCACTGTGACACGCGTGGACCATTGCCTGCTCCATTTCGGAGCCTGAGCCCGCACCATTTCGGAGCCTGAGCCCGCACCATTTCGGAGCCTGAGCCTGCTCCATTTCGTAGCCTGAGCCTGCTCCATTTCGGAGCCTGAACCCGCACCATTTCGGAGCCTGGGCCTGCTCCCTTTCGGAGCTTGAGCCCGCACCATTTCGGAGCCTGAGCCTGCTCCATTTCGGAGCCTGAACCCGCACCATTTCGGAGCCTGGGCCTGCTCCCTTTCGGAGCTTGAGCCCGCACCATTTCGGAGCCTGAGCCTGCTCCATTTCGGAGCCTGAACCCGCACCATTTCGGAGCCTGGGCCTGCTCCCTTTCGGAGCTTGAGCCCGCACCATTTCGGAGCCTGAGCCTGCTCCATTTCGGAGCCTGAACCCGCACCATTTCGTAGCCTGAGCCCGCACCATTTCGTAGCCTGAGCCCGCACCATTTCGGAGCCTGAGCCCTCACCATTTCGGAGCCTGAACCTGCTCCATTTCGGAGCCTGAGCCTGCGTCCTTCCTTGACCGCCCAAAACTGCCCCCGTTTGGGGGAATACTAGAGTGTGTTTCCTCGCAAGTAATACGTTTTTTAAAACGCACACTTGGGAAAAATTACCGTACTTTTGGCCTAAAAATTATTGCAAAAAATTGACGCCTAAAAAATCACGAGCTTCGTCTTATATACGACTCCTTTTGAAGATATTCAACTGTTGAAATGATTTGGTGGCAAATTCTCTTCAAATCTAAAGATATTCAATTTACTCGACGTGTAAAGAGGATCACTCGTAGTTGCTCGACGATAAACGTCGATTTATCGAGTAAAAATTACTCATGCAAATTTTACTCGGAAGGAAAACACTCTAGTTTTGAGCTTTCTTGTTAACTCAATACTATAGTTTTAATAATTTATTTCTGGGAGTTTAAGTTTCTTAGCAACAATCCTTGCGAAAGCCTGGAACCAACTTGGTGCCGGCACCGCCTGCTACATTTGCTACAAAAAGATTTAACAATAAATTGCGTTAATATGGACACTGGGCAGCATGATTTTTTCCATTAAAAGTTTAAAGAAAATGCTGCTTTGTCAAAAAAGATTGTGTTTGTTAATATAAAAGTCTTGCTGAGAGTCTCTTAAATAGGAAAGCCTATAATCAATGTACATCACACTCAAAACTCAAAAGTTATTTGAAAGGATACAAATTGACGAACGGGCGATTAATTGATAGGATAAACAAGACTCATCTCATTTAGAAGGCTTCGAAAAAGACAATTATCTGAATGGGCTCTTGGGGTCTGAATACTCAAAAATGTAAGAGGGAAATCGTTTGTGGCTATTCGTTTTGTGGCTCTTCGTTTTGTGTGGCTCTTCGCAGATGCTTGATTGAAGCTTTTATCGTGCTCCAAACTGCTTCAACACTCTGGGTATGCACTGAACGATTGGTCTTCGCAAAGTCTTTGGGCAGAATTTGAGCTTCTCGATGTCATTGACAGAAATAGACATAGTAATTTAGCTTTGATTGTGACTAGATTGTGACAGCGTGTCCCACAATTATGGTGACGCACATCTTACTACGTTTAACTGCTTGCTGTTTTTCGTTTCTTATTAATTCGATGATTTGATTGTTTTTTAGGTATAAAGTCTAAGAAAGAGCTGCGTCCAGCCATTTATTACTCTTCATAAGCAAGAAAAAACACTCGCAGAGGTATCTCGAATCTTGTAGGCAAAGATACCGAAGGTTTTTCGAGCTCTGAAGCTATTCAAAGAAACTCTAATGAAGATCGGAAAGGATGAAGTCGACCAAAGACTCCCCAATAATTCAACAAATCGTCGAAAGATTTTTGATTGACTTTAAAGGAGTACAAACTTATCAAAGAATACTCTAAATGGCCATAAGATATGCAAAAAAAAAACAGAAATACACTACTGGACCATGAAATATCATATTTGAAAAAAGATCGTCACTTTCGCGCGTCTGTAACTCTCTTGTCTTTACCGTATTTCTAAATATTAATAATACCATTGTGTAGCCCTTGAAAAGAGCTTTCAGAAAATGTATAACACTAATAGTTTAAACTCAAAGACAAGGGAGTTATAGAGGCGCAAAAGTGACGATCTTTTTTTAAATATGATATTTCATTGTCCAGTAGTGTACTTTCATAATTCAATTTTTTTTGCTTTGTTTTCAGTACAAATTACCAAATTACCAAGTTCCCCTTTCCTCTACCACATACAGTACTGGACAATGAAATATCATATTTGAAAAAAGATCGTCACTTTTGCGCGTCTATAACTCCCTTGTCTTTGAGTTTAAACTATTAGTGTTATACATTTTTTGAAAGCTCTTTTCAATGGCTACACAATGGTAATATTAATATTTAGAAATACGGTAAAGACAAAGGAGTTACAAACGCGCGAAAGTGACGATCGTTTTTCAAATATGATATTTCATTGTTCAGTACTGTAGATGAATACCGATTAATTACCGATGAATAAAAAAAAAACAGAAATCTGTTATTGCTATGTGCGAACTGTTTCTTATATTAAAATTAAATTTTAAAACTTCACAAGTATTTTCATACATTATTATTATTCATGCAGAATTTTTAGATATTTATTTTGTCAACTCAAAATGCACTACGCCTTTGTAAAGAGATTCTTGAACGGATTATCATTGACGTCTCAGGGGATTTCGATGAATCATTTTGTAAGCCGAAAACTAAAAAGAGACTGATTTAAGAATAAAAAAATACTTTAAAACTTAGAAATATCAAAGATTTAATGAAGCTTATGAATTCTTCTGCAATTTTCACAACTTTCCTTTCCAATTTGAACTTTCTCTTACCTTTTCGAATAGTGCAAATGATAAAAAGACGATAACAATCATAGCATGTCAATAAGATGATTGTTGAGGCTGTTCCATGAAATGTTCCAATCAACATCACCCAAATTGTGTATTCTGAAAATACAGCTTTTTTTTTCAAATCTCTTTAAAGTTTCTCACCAGCAAGATAAACGTTTTCTTCCAAAAATACATATACAAACCAAGTTATTGGAGCGACAAACATTGTCACATAAGCAGTAAGCTAAAAATGCACAAAGATTTGAGCTGGACAAGTCTTTGAATAGATTTGAAACAAAAAAAATGGTGATAGTTTAGCTATTGGGTTGGGGAGAATGAAATGACACCGAACTTTAAAGAAACTTTTTCAATGCATAAAGCCTTCTTTAAATATAAGTTTTGTTTCATCAAAAAGATCCATTTTGTCTCTACAAAATCACTTTCAAGAGATTCCACAAAGCTTTTTTTTCGTCGAGTTTATCGACTCTCAAAAACAGCAAGTCAAAATGGCAGAGTTTGACTCATCGTTTGAACAATTTCTTCTACATAAACCTCCTTTGGTGTCTCAATAAAAAAGATAGAGCACACTCAATTACATAAGTTTTCAAATTTTCCAGAACAACCCTCCAACCGTTATCTTTAGATCACGGTTTATAGATTTTGTGGAAAAATTGTCGTTTTGTTAAGCTGAGGCGTTGTTTGAGTTCTCTTTTAAATGTCATTTTGTAACTTTAGTTAACCTTAGTTACTGGTTCACTGGTCAAGATGGTCAAATCGATTCACTGGTAAATCGATTTTTCCGGAACAAACCGGAGTTTAGTCCAAAATTTTTAGGAACTTGAACCAATGGATGCCTAGGATTTGTAAGCCAGAAGCCAAGTGAGAAACTAGCGTAGGCTCAGGCCAAAAGTTAGACCAGAATTCACCTAATCTTCTCCTTTTAAATGTCATTTTGCAACCTTAGTTAACTTTAGTTAACCTTAGTTAAGTAGTAAAGAGAATTCGTTAACCTTTCTGCTCATATCAAACGCCTATCAGCTAACAAAGTCTGCTAGAAGTTTTAGAATTATTTTTTTTGATTTTCGGCGCCATTTCATTCTCCCCAACAACAATAATTGTAAGAAAAAGAATAAGAAAAGAAACTAGTGAGAAACTAGCGTAGGCTCAGGCCTTTTAAAGAATCTCCCGGTTACCGGGATATTCTTTAAAAGATCTGTGTTTAACCCATGTGTAGATCTGTGAATAGTAACTGATATCGATAATCAAACCGTTGCCCATTGCCTGAACCGGGTACTACCGTAACCCCAATAAATCTTACCGTAACCCTAATAGTCGATGTGGTAATCGTAAAGGTTACACTCATGTCAATTCACCGATGCAAAGATTAGATCTATGATTGTCTATTGGATCTGTTTTATCTCAACCAAAACGAATCCAACCACTTTAGACCAGTTTAGATCAAAATTTGAAGCTTTTGAAGCTTTTCAACCGGATTAACTTGTTCAGCTTTGAGAGCTGGCTTTGGTTTACAAATCCAGATTAACTTTAAATCTGGATTACAGTCTCGGAGGGATTCGCGCTACCTGAAAGTTCAAATTTCTCGTCCATTTCTTGTGCAATTTCCACGTGTACGCACTCATTCGAAGACGATGAACTTTTGAAAAATATAAATAGTAATATGTAGGCATTAAAAGAACTGAAATCAAGTTTTTAATTTTAGCTTAATTTAACAAAAAACTTACATAAAGTTGCAGTAATAATGAAAGTCAAATATAGAAGAGCGAGTGGTTTGAAGATATCGAGAAGCGATTGATTGATGGCGAAAAAAGAGGGCTTCTCAATGAATTGTGAGAGCTCAGGGTAACACTGAATTGAGAAAAGGTGGTTGTTTTTCATTTTTCTCAAAAATCCACCTGTAATTGTTCAAGCTTGGCTTCGTCGAGCTTAAGAAAATTGACGCCGACAAGGAGAATCGTTGTCTCGATTGAGATACGAGCAGTGCCGACGATTTGTATGATATTTTTGTTACTAAAGGTTTCAAGTTGCTTACTTTAAACCGGGAAAACAAATTCGATAGTTGAAAGCGTAAAACACAAGCTGGATTCACTGGTATCGTCATCGTCATCGTCATCGTCAAATCGATTCACTGGTAAATCGATTTTTCCGGAAAAAACCGGAGTTTAGTCCGAAATTTTTAGGAACTTGAACTAATGGATGCCTAGGATTTGTAAGCCAGAAGCCAAATGAGAAACTAGCTTAGACTTAGGCCAAAAGTTAGACCAGAATTCACCTAATCTTGTCCTTTAGACTAGTCAGCCTGGCTAGGCACGGTTCAGCCCTTGCTTTTCTCATTCAGAATTGGTTCACTTCAGAGATTCAAAGATTCAGAGGATTCATTGATTAACCAGTATCCATTTTTCTATAATTACAATGCTCACCGTCGCTTAAAATGCCATATTTGCTGGTTAAGTAAAAGCATTTGTTGCCGTTCAAAAACGGTCAAACCGAGAGCTGTGACGAAAAAATCAAGAATCACAAACTCAATTATCTAAATTTTAGTAACGTTTCTTTAGGAATTCTAAAGTTTTTTACCAATTGATAATAAGAAGGAATTCCAATTATATGTAGAAGTTTTCCCATTGGGAAATAGCCAACAGCTGGTAAAGCAACGACAGGAAAGGAGAGTACATTGAGCACAAAATCGTAGATGGTTCCGACTGTCTGAAGAGATTTCATAGGTTCAAAAAAATTTTTCAGATCTAACAAAGGCTTATCAGAGCTTTAACTATCATAGACATTAGTCTATGAGTTGTTTTGTAGAGATATGTTAAGCTGGCCCGGTCCGATTGACCCGATTTGTTCAGTGTCCAAGTTCTGCTCTACAATGTGGCTTGAGTTTGAATCTAACCCTAGTTCAGTTTTAGTCTATCCTATCTGTCTTGGTCTGGCTCAGGTTCAGTATCTTTTAGCTTGGTTTGACCAAGTCCAGTCTGGTCTAGCCTGATCTAACTGTAATCTTTATTTGTATTTGAAACCTGCAAGAATAGGAGACAAAATTTGTAGTCTCCTTGATTTTTCGGCGTTTCTTTGTAGACAACATAGATCCCGAAGAGGTTCAAAAGGGTGCAAAGTGCTGAAAAGGCTTTCTCAAATGTTTTAACACTTTATATCTGCATTCGACTTTTTAGACAGCTTAAAATAAGTAATCCTTGATTACCTCCAATCATTGAAACCCATGTGTAGATCTGTGAATAGTAACTGATATCGATAATCATTAAACTGATGTAAAACGATGAAAGTATATAGCCTGAATTGGGGAAAAAGCAGTTTTCAAGTTTTCAAACAAATCATTTTCAACTGAAAGTGGGAGAACAGGTGAATTTCGGCGAACAGGCATCGCTTTTTGACTTTTATCACACAATGAGTTAGTTTTTCTTTCTGAAAAAACCTTTCGGAGTCTAAATTTTGCACATCATACGCACATCATTCTCAGATCATTTCCGATTTTTAAACGAACTTTTTGCTGCTGAAAACCAATTTTTTTTGAGTCATTTACATAAACGGTCACGAAATTTGCATTTAACATTAGAACGTTTACATTTAGACGCCAAAATATTAGCATTTATCCGCAAAGTGAACGGGGAAATGAAAAGCGATACCCTCATTTTCTTTCTCTGACATTTCTTCGATTGGGTAACTAGTAAAATTCATGCCTTCATGCTGCTGTTACCTTTGACTTTTTCTAAAAAATTGCAAAGGTGTAGTAAAGTGCGTCCCAAAAGTCGAGATACCCGCATTTTTTTTGTTGAATCTCAGGATTTCTCAGGTGTCATTTTTTTCTACTTTTTACTTTTCGTTTACTTTTTGATTTGTGCGAATGCTATGTTGAAGCTTTAGATTAATTATAAAATAAAACGAGAAAAGATTAGAAAAACCTGTTAAAAGCTGTTAAAACCTGTTAAAAGCTGTCAAAAGCTGTTAAAAGCTGTTAAAAGCTGCTAAAAGCTGCTAAAAGGTGTCAAAAGCTGTTAAAAGATGTTAAAAGCTGTTAAAACCTGTTAAAAGCTGTCAAAAGCTGTTAAAAGCTGTTAAACGCTGCTAAAAGCTGTCAAAAGCTGTTAAAAGCTGTTAAAAGCTGTTAAAAGCTGTTAAAAGCTGTTAAAAGCTGCTAAAAGCTGCTAAAAGCTGTTAAAAGCTATCCCATAATCGCGTAAATCTATTTAACGTAAAGCATGAAGCACAAATTTTATTAGTTTCCCTTCGATTGTGATTTTTGTGAATTTTAAATTTTCATACATTTTAACGTTTTTACTTGTTATTTTCCAGAAAACAAAGATCGATTTTGTCATTAATGAAAGTTGTTTCGTTCCCGGATTGAGCGATGAAGAAAAACTCGAATCTCCGCTCAAAATGGCCATCGAATCCACAGATTCCGAGGGGGAAATCGACGAAAAAGATGGGGGAAAATTTGGATTTGATTTTCAAAATTTGATTGGGTCTAACTGTAACTGTAACTGTTATCTTGCAAATACTTTGATCAAGTACCTTTAGTTTTGATGTCAATTTTATAATGTGTACCTGTTAACCTTAAACTTATGCTAGACGACCTTTGTTTCCCCATCAAGGGCAGGCTAAGAGTGCCCGATTGTGCTCGATTATGAAACCTCAGTCCCGACTCATGTAACATCAATACATACGTGCCAATAAAGAATTGAGTCCCGTTAATTTCATCACTACCTGGTCCAGCTGGCTCAAATTCAAATCAATCACACTCAGTCAAGATTCCAAAAGATGAAACTGTCGATGGGAAGAATCCCGGTTTCTATAGCCTAAAAAATCCTCGTCAACAGTGGCAGAGACGATCGATGAAGGTCAGCACACTAGCTCCAACAACTCGCAGAAAGAAATCCGCTGATGGATCCGCTGAAATCCGCACGAAAATCCAAGATCAGATAAAAGAAAGGATCGAAAGAGCTGATCCTAAAACTTCTGAACAAATGAACAAAAAGAAAAGAAATTCATGTGGGAAGTGAGTGTCGAGAAGCCAGATTTTGATGAATTGCGTCGATCGCGTTATCATTGCGTATCAATATTAATATCATATCAATTGCGCTATCAAAAGAAATACAAGAGTTGAGGCCAAAGTTGAATGAATTGACGTTAAGGAGGAATGAATCAACAAATCAGGAAGAGATTCAAGGGTTGAACGAGGAGATCGAGAGGATTGTCACTAAAATCTAATATATAGTGCGAAAAAAGTTAGTCCAATTTACTTTTTTGCAAAACTCGTCGCCTCAATAAGGTGTGTTTTGTGTTTTGATGTGTGTGTGTTATGAAGGTTTTTATTTGTCAAAAGGCAAAAGGTTAAAGTCATGCACAATAGATTTCTCCCAGACATTGCTCACATTTTAACAGTTTATAAAACTTCTAAAAGAACATTTTCCATTATTTGATGAGTAACTTTTGTTTGGGAGAGGAATTCTTCACAAAATCGACAACAATTGTTTTGGGAGGGCATAAAAACTGAAAGCGAATACATTGGAGACACATTTACAGAGGCAGAAGGTCTCGAAAGTTTGACAGAACATCAACAAATGTTTCTCAAAACTTGTATTGGCCTAATTATTATTGGAATCGGTATATTTTTTGAGATTTTTCTAACGTTTAGACCAACTTTAGGCCTATCCAATGGAGCGTCTGTTGGGCCGAGTGTTCGCCACTTTCGAGATCTGGTCCCCACTCGAAACGGGGTAGATTTTTGCGTAAAATTGCTATAAAAAGAAATTTATAATATTTTGAACTTCAAGCATTAAAATATTAAAAACAAAAAACAAACGAACTTTTCAGCCAGGGCCGACTACAATGCTGAAAGCGAAAGCGAAAGCGATGTGCCGGTGAGAGTAGTTGACATCAAAAATTTGTCAGATTGAACCTATGCCTAACGAAATCTGTTACAGAACAGTACTAATGCCATTCGCGAAACAGAAATTCGTCTAAATTATCCTAGTAAACCAAAATGGTCATCCATAAACTTAGAGTAGCCGTTTTAGCCTTACAAATGAAACCTTGAAGCTGAACCTAGGTCATTTGATTCGAGCTAGTCCAGTAGAAAAGACCTAGTAGAAAAGATAACACAGAACACACATAACCTAATTTGAAAGAACCATGTCTGATCATAAAAATAAGATAGAACTTGTTAATATTATTTTCTGTAACCACTTACAGCAACTTCTAACACTTCTTCATAGTCCCTAATTTGAAAGAACCGTGTCTAATCATAAAAATATTATTTATGTTAAAGAAAATCCCCCATAACATTTATTGAAAACAAAATTAACAAAATTAAAACAAATAACAATTATGAAAAGAGTACTACGCTGCTTGGGAGGGGCACTTTTTTTTCTTCAAAACCACTTTTTCTGGGGTAGTTTTATGCGTAGATACCGAGAAACACAACAAGAGCTTGGAAAAAAGCGTTTTAAGCCAAGTTTCAGGGCTTAAAGGCGCGCGCTCATACAGTGTGATGAGAGGGATGCACATAGGGAAGACACATCCGTGCGAAATAAGGCAAAAAACGTTCTCTATCAGAATTTCACGTTAGAGTATCCATTCGACGCAGAAAATTGTGCTGAATCGAATGGTGAAGAAATTAGCGAAATCCATCTGCTCCGATTTTTTAAATCGCGTTTTATCGAAAAAATCGCACTTTTACGATCAACTTGCTCGCCGCGACCAACTTTCGGCGGCTCGTTTGCGCGTTGTCGCGTTGTCGAAAGATTGCGCCCTCAAAACCGATAACTTTTGTATCGACGTGTACAAAGATCATTTTGATACCAAAAAAATAAAAAATGATCAACTCTGCGAAGACTTGATGCCTTTTTAAGATGAAATGCGGTTTTGCGACTTTCTGCCTGCTAAAATGTGAACAATCGCCAACAACCTATTTAAAGCAGCCAGACATTTATATTACTCTATTTGAATTTGTCTTTGATACATATTTCGATTCTGACAAAGTTTTTTGATTTTTGGACTGTTTAGGTCATCTGTGCGTCTTGAGAAAACCTAACTTTTTTGAAAGCTCTTCGAATTGCACGCGTTCCAACGAATTAGAATCAACTGCAGCTTCCATAGCCTTGAATATTTGATTTCCGAATCCTAACTTGATGGGCAGAATCGAAGGAACACAATGTTTAGGCTCAATGTTCCATACATATGGCCGAAGCACAGCCTTTCGATTTTCGGCGTCTTTTGTTGGGAGTTTTAAGCGCTCGTCAAAATTCAGGATGGTACGTCTTTCGTCGTGTGTTTGGTCTAATTTCTCCTTCACACCCGTAATCTTGCGTGACTTCACAGCTTTAAAGAAGCATCACACACAGGGATACGTTGAAGCACACGACATTCCGAATGCAGAAGCCATGAAACTGAGACCATCCCCCAAGAAGAAGGTGCAAGGTAAAGGTGAAAGCTTTTCAAACCAGTCCTTTATCTTGCACAGATTTTCGTTATTGTCATAACCATACCACGCGGCAAGTATCAGTTGATTGTAAGGGGATTGTTGCTCTCCCGACTTGTCTGGAAACATGATTGTAACTTTGGTAATATCCAGTCCTTTATCACATAAATGTACAGCACAATGTTTCTCGTTGTCTTTAATTTTCGACAGTCGATATTGAACGGATGAAAACATGTCTTTTAGCTTCACAATATCGCCTTCAATTCCGTAGTCGACGTTTTTTTGCAAGGCTTGCTCGTACCATATTCAGACGATACTCCGTTGCAAGAGTACGATTCTCATGGCTGTAAATTCGATGAGCGTCACGCGATACTTTAGATTTCGAGTAAAGTGCAAGGGTTTGTAATGGAGAGAGCGATAGACAAACAACATTTCTTCTCATTCTTTTTCTGTGATTTTTGCATCGATCTTTCCGGGCAGCTTTAAGGATTTTCCTTCGATTTCGTCGCATCTTTGCAGTGATTCTTCTTTTCTCTACGTTTCCTCTTCTAACAATCAACATTTTTGCCTGATTCAAAGTTGCTTGCTCCTTTTTTCTTTTAAAATCTGTTATTCCCTTCATAGATGCACTTTTGCGCTTGCTTGCCTGTGGCATCGCTGTCGAACCTAAAATGAAAATACTAATGTTAAGCTCAAGAAATGAAAAACTTTCTGAAATAAGAAACGAATTACGCAAAAAGCTAAAAAAATGACTGCTGGTAGTTGTTGGTTAACGGTTAACGTTTAACTGAACCTATTAAAAAGCTTACTAAGAGTTTTTTTTATCAACAATTTAAATAGAGATAAGTTAACTATAAGTTAAAAGCCTCTGGCAAAAAGGACAAATTCAAATAAAGTAATATAAATGTCTTGCTGCTTTAAATAGGGTGTTGGCCCCGAAACTAAGCTTAAAGCGCCTTTTCCCGAGCTCTCGTTGTGTTTTTCGGAATCTACACATAAAACTGTCCTAGAAAAAGTGGTTTTGAAGAAAAAAAAGTGCCCCCGCAACCGGCGTAGTACCATGAAAAGTAACAATTAGCCAGCAAAACAAGAGGAAAATCAAAGTTAAAAAGATTCAAATCATCGCTTTTATTGTCGACTTCTTCAACGTTTGTATCGACGTTTGTGTTCAATTCTCCCAAAAGCTCGGCCATTTCTTGATCCAGACGAGCATTATTCAACTTTTCATAATCTAAAACAAAGAAAAAAAATTAGTAAAACAATAACGGAACAACCTGTTGGAATGACCCCATCCAGCTCGGCCATTTATTGATCCAAACTTTCTAGCCATCCATGGCTTTTCTTGAAATGGATGCCTGCATTTAAAAGCTCCATCTTCGCTTTATCCAAAAGAATTCTGTGGGTCATAAGCTTATTTTCATCTCGTTGAGATCGAACCCATTCGGCAATTGATTGGTCGACGTCTGCCCCCAGCAAGTGCCTTCTTTCGCCATCGAGCCGTTTTCGCTTGCCGTTGAGAGCGCTGAGTTGATTCGTTCCTTTCCTCCAGTCATAAATTGATGATCGTGTCACTCCGAATTTCTTTGCAGCCACGTGAATTGAATTCGATTTGGCGTATTCAAGGATCTCCAGTTTGGTTTTTGCATCAAACGCCCTTCTTTTCTTTCCCATGTTGTCCGCTTCGATTTCGCAATCACGTGCCTCCTCATCGAAGCTTTTGTTCAATCCTTGTTCGAAATCACGACGATCCCGAAATCCAATCAAATCGTCTATCGATTCGTTCACCGTTTGCTCAGCTCAATGATCGTCTCGTGCATCTCTTTGGCCATTACCTAAAGAAAAATATTAAACATTGTAGCAAAAGTGTTAAAATGAGAAAAACTAAAACAACTAAATAACATAGGTAAGTAGGTACTTTTTAAAACTAAAAGAGCGTGACTAAAAGCTTTGAAAAAGAACCTAGGCATGTGCATGTCTTGATAACAAAAAAAATATGCACCAAATACATTTTTGCGTAAATTGTTCCATTTTGTGCAAATAAAATTTAATTTTTGGCAATAAATTTACTAAAACTAAGCAGTAGGTCTGACTACTAGGTCTGACTAGAACTTTAAAAATAATGCTTTCCAGAAAATGAGAAATAAAAAATTGTGAAAGAAGGGCGTTCCTCGTAGGCTTGTTAATGAGGTTTAACGAGGCTCCAAGTTTGACTAGTCATATCAGCGCACTGAAAGTTGCTAGCAATCTGAAACTTTTTTATCAGAAAGCCTAGATTACCAGCTTCATTTTGATACCGAAAATTCAACAAAAGTCTTTAAAAAAGCTCTAAAAAGGTTATCGAACGAGTCCTTAACGAGGCCTCGTTAAGAGTAGTAATTTTAAGGTTCAATGTGATTTTTGAGCGCTATTTTAAAGAATTTTGCTGAATTTTTGGTATCAAAATGAAGCTAATAATATTGGCTTTCTGATAAAAAAGTTTAAGATTGCTAGCAACTTTCAGTGGGCCGATATGACTGTTCGAACGGGAGCAACCCCAAAATATCGTTAGCCATGTCTAGTTGCTCTATTAGAGGGGGCTTTTTGAGGGGATCGCTCTAATACAGCATTTGCGGTATTAATATTATTTTCTACAGCCACTTACAGCAACTTTCATCACTTCAAAACGGACACCGCCCATTTTTCGAAGGCCCGTCGCCACGTGTTTGTCGAGGCCGAGTTTCGGCTGTGCGACGTCGAGAATCGACCGATCGGTGGGGAATTTCGAGTCGATACATTTAAATTGACACATCCCATACAAAAAAATGGCTAAACTATTGACTTCACTCGGCAGTGAGCGACAGGGTGGATCAAAAGTAAACTAGCCTTACCTAGCTAGCTTAAATAAAAAAAAACTATGCTAAGGAGTGAAAAAAAAAATTATACTAAACTAGGGAAATTTTACTAACAATGACATTAGCTACTACATTTTTTGGAATATAAAAGTGGATTCCAGCCGAACAGACCCTTGAATGCGTTGTCAACACGTTCAAGAACGCCTCGAAGCCACCGCCCGAATGCGAGCCGGTCGTTAATCTCGAACTGACTGCGCCGTGCAGGTTAACAGCTTATTCTATTAGATTGGAATGGAATTATAAACAACAATACGTTTAGTGACAAGACGGCGGGATTGATGTTCAACTGCACCATTGGGGGGCTTGCCAAGAAATGCGGCCTCCCGCAAGAAGGCGAGGGGAACTTGGACCGGATGATTGATATTGTTTACTTTTTCGAGACTCAGGCGAGTTTTGAACAAACAATTATCACCATCTATTTTGCAGACTTTTTATGAGTAGACACTCAACTAGCCAATCGTTTAAAGCCTTCAAAATACTTGCACATTCCATAGAACTAGCCAAGACCCTATGCTGTAGCCGTAGCTTCTACATATGCTGTAGCCGCTCTTCAAAGTAAGAACTTAAGAATTATATACAAACTACTAATCTACTAATCAATAAACCCTTCAAAAACATGGTTCTGAATCTAGATTTAAAAATCAAAAGTTTTGGTTGTTGATAGCTTTTTCGAAACTCATTTTTTGGGGGAATAGTTTTGTCCCGCAGACCGATTCTTCTATTTTTCTATTTATAGATCACCTATATGAGTGTTCGTTTTAACTACATAATTTTAGCTTCTTATGAAGCCATTCAAAAACGACACTTGTGGTTGGAAGTTCATGCAGGCAACCGAAGGCGGTCGAAAAGGCTTCGAGCTGATGACCATGATGACCGACATCTTCAGGGGTGAATATATCAAGAAATGAGCGTACAGCGAATAAAGCAATCTTTTTATCTAAATTTAAAGACAATCCAACGTTACTTAAGCTTTGTGTTATTAGGTTGTTAAAAAAGTTCGCGATCACTTGCAGAAACACTACATTTTTATTCGCAAATAATCAACAAAAACAAGAACGTTGACTCTTCAAAGTCCGTCATTCTCTACGACCTGCTGCTATCGATGAGCAAGATTTCGGATCTGCTGGAAGTACCAAGCCGGCTCCTTTGAATCAAAGAACTCTTGACACGCTTCTTCAACTTCTTTTCTTTAAGATCAAGGTCAAGATCAAGGAAGGTAACGTGTGATGGTACTTGTGAATCTGTTGGATAGTTATGCACGTTACCCGTGTGATACATAACTGCGGCGTGCCATGCCATTCTAGCCCGTGATGCACGGCCGGGAAGTGACCTGTGTCAGAGAAGAGAAACGGAAACGGGGGAATCGAGTTTTTATTGGCCAACCGCAGGCGCTCTGGAAAACCTTTTTTATTGGCGCTCTGGAAAGCCACGTGATGCGCCATCCCCGGATCACATTCTCACATCTGTGGTAACGTAAGCTAAGCCCCAACTGTTTATAAGCAAATTTTCAAAACAAATGCTAATTGGGTAATATGCGTGCAACAGATTCACAAGTATCTTTTTATGATTTACAAGAGAAGAATGGGATTTCGATTGGGGCCCGCCGCCTTTTCCGATGATATATACACCATTCGACGCAGAATTTAACGTTAATTCCAATGATGTAAAAATTCGCTGCCGAATGGCGCGTAATCACCGCCAAACTGGTATATAGGTTTTGAGCCTCTTTTTTAACCCGATTTTTTCTCAACACAAACTGTTCATCGGTGGCCGAGTGGTTGAGCGCTTGTACAGCAAGCTGAGGGTCAAGATCGTCTCATTTTTTTTTTGCTTTTTTTCCATTCTACGTTCTTTTGCATTTTGCAAAGGATATTTAACCTCAAACTTTAAAAAACGAATTTTTTTAAAAAAAGAAATCATATCAAATTTACTGATTCAGAGACGTACAGAACCTCAAAAACAAATGAGAAAGCTAAATCCTGTAAAGTGAAATCAAAATTGATTAAATTTTCAAGCAACAAAAGTCCGATCAATATCCAAAATGTGATGATATGCTTGAGGATCGATCAGAGACGAAGAAATCGATTCAAAATAATCTATTGTATTTGGATTGTTTCGAAAAATAATCAACGAAAGACGTGACTTCCAGGGTAAAGCCATTTTTTTCAATCAGTGAAAGCCCATTGAAATGATGCATACCGTAAATACTGTAATTGGACCCCCCCTCTAATAATACCCCACCCCTCTAATAGTGCCCCACCCCTCTAATAGTACCCCACCCCTAATAGTAACCCACCTAACGCGTAATTACAAACAACGCTTTTAAAGCGGAAAATTTTCATGTATTTTCAGAAATCGTTTGTATTTTTAATTTTATTCCATAAATTTGTTGTTTTTAAATTTGTGGTGGCTGCTTTGCGCCAAATTTTTTGGGCGTCTCGCCATAACTTCCTTCTAAGTGGGCCAATCTTTATGATTGTAGATCTCAACAAGTGCAACAAAGTAACACCAAAATCATAAAGATTGACCCACTTAGAAGACTTGAACCACTTAGAAGCCACTTGAACTCGGAGGGGATTGATATCGGTTTGGCTGAATGGATCGTCGAGCCGAGAAGAAACGAGTGACACGCCGAATTATCTGGAATGAAGCGGCTAATCGATTCGAAAAAGCTGAAATTTCTTTCAAAAGAACCCATGGCTGGATGGAGTCGTTCTTGAGGCGCCACCAACTTTCTTTGAGGGCACCAATAACAACTTGTCAAAAGCTGCCGAGCGAATTTGGGAAGGCCATCGTCAAGCACATTCTGAGGCTGAACAAGACAATCAAAGAAGGCGATTACAAGCACATTGTTGCTTGCGATGAGACGGCGGTTTGGCTGGATGCTTCGACGAGCAAGTGCATCGAAGCGGTTGGAGCCAAAGAAGTTGGTGTTCTCACCCGCGGCTACGACAAGATGAATATATCCGTGATGCTCACTGCTCGTTCTGATGGGAAAAGGTTGCGCCCTTTTATCATGGTGCCTCGGAAGACCATGAACAAAAAAATCGAGACAAAGTTCCAATCGAAGTTATTGCTCTGTTCGAAAGAGAAGAAAAGCAAGTACTTCGATAACGAGATCACGGCGAAATACTTGCAACGCTCTTTCGGTGGACTGATCTTTAATCTATTGTACTTACAGGCGATGAGAAATGCTCGGACAGAGGCAGAAATCGAGGACCTCTTGGAACCGCTCGCATCGACGGGATTTCAAGGACTTCGAGGAATTGATGAGCAAGAAAATGATGAATTCATTAATTCAGATGTTTCCATTGATTTAGCTTGCTAGTTGGTTTTGTTTCGTTTTGCTGTTAAATTTTCAAATGGTTAAAATCAATAAAAACTAAAGTAAAAGTTGGCTTTTGAACCAATTATTTAAATGTATCCTGATTTGGTAACTTGAATAGTTACTCTCTCGTGTTCGCTAGCGGTCGCCTATTTGAGTCGTCTCTCAAGGCCGTAGATTCGCTTACGACCATACCACGTTGAAAACACGGCATCCCGTCCGATCTGCCAAGTTAAGCAACGTTGGGCTCGGTTAGTACTTGGATCGGAGACGGCTTGGGAATCCCGAGTGCCGTAAGCTTTTTTTGTGCCCGAGTTTTGTACCCCGAGTGCTTTTTTGTGGATCGGTCTAGAGACTTGGGAATCAATTTTTGCACAAAGGAGGTAACGTTATGGTTTGGGTCGAGTAGTCGAGAATCCTTGGGACGGCTTGGGAATCCCGAGTGCCGTAAGCTTTTTGCATTTTTGCCCATCCCTCTTGGAACTTGAGATCAATTTTTGCACAAATTAACAAGGTAAAGCACTTGCTTTTTGAATCTCCAACTTTAGCTTCTTTATTGCTGGGAATCAGAGAAACCGTATTTTTCAAAATTTTCTCCACCATATAGTGGACGATTTCCCGTGTGGTTCCGCGCCACCGAAAGTGAAGTGAAGGGTTGACACATTTCTTGATAAATCACGATAAAAATGAAATAAACCATCAAAGCTTCGAACCATTTCACATCTCTAAGTTCTTTCGTTGACCCCCCTCGCGGGGAGTTTATTTGTGCATCCCCTAGCGGGGACGCATTCCAAAATCTTTTCGAGACACTGTTGGAAGGTCTTGGGGTTAATGCTAACCTCAAACTTGGGTAATTAAACCGAAGAGTGGGGTCTCTGTCGCGTTACGCAGAGGAGCCGTGTGCCAGATGCCCCGTTTTGCTACGAGACACACGAAAAGTACACACTTCGTGTCGTCTCGCGTCACGGGGACTGATGCTTTCTATTTCACTCGCTTGGAGATCCCGAGTGCCGTAAGATTTTGTCTATTTTTTTGGATCGATCTAGCGACTTGGGGAGTCAATTTTTGCACAAATGAACCGGGTAGATCGATTTCTTTTTGAATTTCCAACTTTAGTTTCTTTTTCTCCACAGTATACAACTTTCAAGGTCAATGTGCTGGCTAGTAGACATGGTTTTCGGATCGGATCGGATCGGATCGGATAAAATCCGCTCCGATCCGAGAAAGTGGAATTTCGGATCTGATCCGATCCGAGAACGTGACTTTCGGATCAAATCCAATCCGATCCAAGACAGTAGTTCTTTGTTGTTTCAATAAATTGTTTCTAGAAAGGAAGGTCTTTAATAAGCTTGGCATCGCTCTCTGCAACACAAAATTTGAAAAGAAAAGAGAAAAGCCGCTAATAAAGATAAAAATGAGCAACACTTAGTACTCAACATAGTATTGGGTTGGGGAGAATGAGTCGGCGCCAAACTTTAAAGGGACTTTTTGCACACATAAAGCCTTCTTTAAACATACGTTTGGTTTCATCAAAAGGATCCACTATTTCTCTACAAAATGACTTTTGAGAGATTCCACAAAGCTTTTCTTTCGTGGAGTTTATGAACTTCCAAACGCAGCTGGTTAAAATGGCAAAGAATCCGACTCATCATTTGAACAGTTTCTTTCACATAAACCTTCTTTGGTGTTTATATAAAAAAGATAGAGCACATTCAATTACTTAAGTTGCCAAATTTGCAGGAAGATCCCACCAATGGTTTTTCTAGATGACAGTTTATCGATTTTGTGAAAAAAATGATCCTTTGTTGAGTTGAGGCGCTGTTTGAGTTCTCTTTTAAATGTCATTTTGTAGAGAATTAGTTAACCATTCTACTGATTTCAAACGCATATTATTTGACGAAGTCGAATAGAAGTTTTAGACATTTTTTTGATTTTCGGCGCCGACTCATTCTCCCCAACCCAATAATATTGGATTGGTGAATTGAAAACTGCCGGCTATTGTCATATGTGACAGTTTGAGCACTTTCTTCAAAAGAAACCCATTTTGGTGTCAATGGAAAAGTTGTAGAGAATCAAAAATCAAGCTTATATCCAAATTTTCAGAACGATTCAAAAACTGGTTTTCAAGAAATGCCAAATTTACGAATTTTCACAAAACTTGCATTTTAAGCGAAACTACTAAGTGTATCTTTTTGGAAATTTGGCTATAAGCCTAGCTTTTGATTCTCTACAACTTTTTTATTGACACCAAAATGGGTTTCTTTTGAAGAAAGCGCTCAAACTGTCACATATGACAATAGTCGGCAGTTTTCGATTCACAAATCCAATAGTTATAAGTTATGCGAAGTTTTGTAGGGGATTTCAAAAATCACACCCCCGGGTTTATAATTAGATTTCCCTGCGGCTTTGGGTTTGGGGTAATAGGGGTAAAAATTTCCTCTGTTGTGTTGTAATCCATTATTCGTGTCGAATAGCTATACTTTTAAAGATCAGTGTACCAGAATTTGTGTTTCTCTCATTTTTGATCAAATAAAATAGGTTTCTTTTAAAAAAAATTTCATTACCAAACACGAGAGATGAAGAAGAAAAGAAGAAAAGAAGAAAAAAGTAGTTAAAAAGCTTATGAAAGCGTTATTCTTGAGAAATTTTCCATTCATTCAGCCATTCATCTCATCCAAGTTCACTCCTCAACAGTCTCGTACATCGAACCTGGAAATGAGTTCAGAAATTTTAACGAATCTGACCCCAAAATCCTGTTATTCTATCGTAACCTAACAGCTTCCCCAATCTTTATTCCTACCGTAGAATTTCTTAGCATTCTCCACATCAAATTCATCCAAATCACGTTGTTCGTAGTTGAGAGAGGATCGCTTCTGAACAAATGAGTTGCTTGCTTTTCTTTCAATTTATTAGTGTGTTTATTAGTTTATTAGGTGTGTGAAAAAGTAATCCACGTTTTTTATTTTTATCAGATGACCAAATAAGACGCTGTCTTCTCGAAAACCCTCGTTCAACCTCTTCAGAAATAGGCCTTACATTAAATTGTGATGGGTCAACCGTAAGGAAACGCTTGAATGCCATGAATTTTATCAAAAAGTTGGACAAATGGATACCGCATGAACGACAACGCGCGACCACATGTCTCTTTACAGACTCGACAAAAAATCCAGAGTGTTGGATGGGAGGTTTTACCACATCCACCTTATAGTCCAGACCTTTCTCCATCTGATTATTATTTATTTTTATCTCTGTCTAACTTTTTGGCCAATAAATGGTTCAATTCCGAAGAAGATGAAGAAAGCCGAGGTTGATCTTTTCTTCGCCTCTAAGGACCAAGGTTTTTATTATCGTGGAATGTCTTTAATTGTAGAATGTTGGCAAAAGGTTGTTCTTTCGAATGGTGATTACTTCGTTGAATAAAAATTATTTTAACGAAACTTTTGTCTTGTTGGTCTTTTATATTTAAACGTTAAAAACGTGGATTACTTTTTCACACACCTAATACTTTCCAGTTTTAGTTAAAGTTCGAAATTTGAGTCAAGAACATTGTGATACCTGAAGAAAAATCGGGTACATCACCGATCGACTATACGGTGAGTGATCGAAGCCGAGCTCGTGACCGATCGCGTGCAAAGCCGCAAAACGAAGATCGAATGTTTTGGTGCTGAAGCTCTCTTGCTCTTGTTTTCTCCTTTGAATCAAAGCTGAATTTTCTCTCGCTCACCTATTCTCTTCTGGTGTCGCATTGATCCATTTTGTGTCACTATTGAAAACGATGATTTTCCCGTTACCCGAATTGATTGTTTGAACGACTTTTGGGCCTTGAGATTAAAATAGTTGTTTGAAATTTTATAGTAAATTTCAATTACCCATCCCATCGTCGGTTTGGGTGATCGTCGAGAAGTCGAACTAAATTTTATTATTGACAAAAAAGTTTGTTTGTATGATAGCGAAACCTTTTTGAAAGCCAAAAAATAAGCCAAAAAAAATGAAGATTAGTATGACATATTTGGTAAGGAATTTCCAATTACCAGTTTCTCACAAGGCCAGATGGCCGACCGGTTAGGAGTCTTGTCTCTTAAGCGGAAGGTTGAGGGTTCAATCACGCTGATAAGATAAAAATGTTTCTTTTTCCCCACCAAGTGGGTTTTTTCTTTCACAACATTTAGTTAATAGGGGTAATAGGGGTAATAGGGATAACGGCCGCAATGCTATAAAATTGTGTTTTTAGACCTTTATGTCTTATTATGTATCCTTTGTTTGTATCAAATTATTGGTTTTCAATAAATGTATTAGGTTGATGCAAAAGTCTTTTTCATTTTTTTCGTACTTCTGTTAAAAAGTAACAAATGCACCAATTAATCTATAGTTTGCTCTATAAAAAAAGTGTTTTTTTGTTGAATTTGCATTTTTTTAAATGAATTTCGGTTCACTTTCAAGCAAATTCGAGAGTGAAAAACGCCTTTTTCGTAAAAATCTATAAAAAACTCTACGGAAAAATTGGCTGAATGAATTTCTCTGAAATTTTGGCGAAATATCAAACTTTTTTTTCTCTATATTTTATCTATTGACACGAAGATAGGTTTTCTTTAGCTAAGGTGTCTAAACCGCATCATCGAGTTAGCCCTTTTTGACTACCCGACTTCATACTCTCAAGAAAATCCAGGCATTAAATATTTTTAAACCCGTTTTAATGTTATTTTGCAGAAAAATAATTCGTTTTTCTAATGAAATCAACCGTAGTTTAATTGGTGCATTTGTTGGCTTGAAACGGCAGACGAAAAGAAACGAAAAGACTTTTGCATCAACCTAATATTTTAAAAAAGGAATGGTTCGAATTGATCGGACGATTTCGCTACGCCGCCGAGATGCAAACGCCTATCGAGCATGGGGAAAACGATACGCTATTTAGTTTTTGCCCATTCTCAACGGTTCACAAGAAAAACGCTTGCAAAGTGTGAGCACCTACTCGGGAAAAAAAACGCTCAAAGGGAAGGAAAAGAGCGTATATATTCCCCAGGTGCGATTTCCCGAGTAGGTGCCCAAACTTTGCAAGCGTTTTTCTTGTGAACCATTAAGAATGGGCAAAAACTAAATAGCGTATCGTGTTCCCCATGCTCGATAGGCGTTTGCATTTCAACGGCGTAGCGAAATCGTCCGACCAATTCGGACCATTCCTTTGTCAGATCCAAATCATTCACTCACCGTGACATCAGCCTCTTCCCCCCGTGACACCTCCAAAAAACCGATCGTTGTCACCGATGTCCAAACGCGAAAAGCAGCCACGATGGCTTCTCTTCAAAAACACGCATTACTTATTGGATTTCTCTGCATTTCCCACTATCGAGTACAAATATATATTTTTTTTGGTGAAAATCAAAAATCCGAATCCTAGAAATTCTAGTGTGATATCCAGATAAAAGAAAAAAAACGCAATTTAGATAAAATTGCTCTTGTTAATTTTTCGGAATAACCGCGAACTCTCTGCAGTTCAACAAGGGCTTTTTTTTAAAAGCTCAAACCCAAAACAAAAATTCAGGCTGTCAAAACGTTTTTTGGCTAACATCCGTTCCTTGTTAGTATTCGTTGATTGCTAACCAGTAGACAAGTTAACTGCTAGATGGTACAAGGACGACGTATACCGTATTTTCTGTAATAGTAGTGCAGGCTGGAGGGGGGTTGAAAAAATAGTAGTGCGCACTACTATTAGGTTGTCCAATAAGTAATGCGTGTTTTGACACGATTTTCAAAATATCACAAAATTAACAAAAGGACGAGCATTGTCAAACTGCAGTTTAATCATCGAAGTGTCCTCTCCTTTACGACAAAGAGCTTGCTGCACTCTTTCCAATTGTTGAGAGTACAAGTCAGCAACGACTGGCCTTCCAGCGCGTTCCTCGCCCTCTAACGACTCGTTTCCGTCCGCAAATCGTTTACACCAGCGCTGGCACTGGCTGATTGAAATTGAATCCTCTCCAAATGCGGCACAGATAGTTCGATGGCAATCCGCTGCAGTTTTACCTCGTTTGAAATCATACAGCATTGATGCGCGGACAACAAACTTTTTGTCTTTCATCTGCAAAACAACATATCTATTATAAAACAAATGCAAATGAATAAAATAATATATAAAAATAAACACAAGATGCTGATGATTAAAAAGAGCATATATTTGCTCGAAGCGATTTCGCAATAGTTTCGAAATAAGTAACACGCATTACTTATTGGACAACCTAATATTATTAGGTTGGCCGGAAAGTTCTTTCCGTTTTTTGACGCTAGATCTAACTTTTTATTTTACGCATCAAAAACGCCAAATAAAAAAACAGAATTTGTTTGAAAGTTTGAAATGAAACACTTTTACTTGAGCCTTCAAGCAATTTTTATCTGAAACACAAATTCTACCATTCGAGATTTCTTGAAGAAAAGTCCGAAGGGAAGTGTTTGAGCTGACTCGTTGCTCTTTTCCAATGGGTCTTTATGATTTTGATATGATTTATAATGAAACGTATGGCTTTGAATAGCAAGATTTTAAAAATAGAGAAAACTCTGATTAAATTCCATATTCTTTTACGATAAGAACGCAAATTTATCTAAATTGCGTGTTTTTTTTCTTTTATCTGGATATCACACTAGAATTGTTAGGATTCGCATTTACACCAAAACCTTTGTTTGCCTTATCGTTTACAAACCACCAACCTCATCTCGTTTTCCGATAAATTTTCCGGGTTCGATTGAAATTTATAGGCTAGCGTGTCTTTTGGGAACTTGACTCCCTCTGAAATACAAGAGATTCTCCTTGAAAAGCGCTTCCTCAACTCACCCATCTCATCCCCATTTGCACATCTCGCTAGCTTGCTCTCATCAATCGGCTCAATCGATCCATCAACTCCCATGGCTGGCTTTGAACATAACATTTCGGAAAATGAAAGCCAAAAATGAAGACAGAAACGTTTCTTTTTTTGAGAGAAAACCCTTAGCAACGTGCTGGGGGAATCGGTCAAAGATCAACGAAACTCACTGTTTTCTTCACTCTAGAAATATATGGCGTTGGTGAATTGAAAACTGCCGGCTATTGTCATATGTGACAGTTTGAGCACTTTCTTCAAAAGAAACCCATTTTGGTGTCAATGGAAAAGTTGTAGAGAATCAAAAATTAGGCTTATAGCCAAATTTTCAGAACGATTCAAAAACTGGTCTTCAAGAAATGCGAAATTTACGAATTTTCACAAAACTTGCATTTTAAGCGAAACTACTAAGTGTATCTTTTTGGAAATTTGGCTATAAGCCTAATTTTTGATTCTCTACAACTTTTCTATTGACACCAAAATGGGTTTCTTTTGAAGAAAGTGCTCAAACTGGGACATCTCCAGTCCTCGATTTTTGAGTCTCACACTTGTCTCACACACAAACCAAAATCCTACTACAAAAGAAGGAATCCGCAAATTGCCTGTAAAATGGGCAGAAGTCATCAATAATAATGGAAATTATTTGGAATAAATTCATGGTTTTATGTTGAATAAATTTCAGTTCAAAGTCCGGCAGTTTTCACCAACCCAATAAGAGAGGAAATCTGTCAGAGAATTTACTTTTCATCTAAATAATAACTAATAACATGTTGCAAAACTGGCTCGCTCTAAAACAAACAGCCTTGTTTGGGAACTTTTGGCGCATCCCCCATACAGTCCGGACCTCGCCCCTTCTGATTACTATTTATTCCGGACCATGAGTAATGAGCTTTCGGGAGAACACTTCGGTCCGGAAGAAGTAGTCAAAAATTGGCTTTGAAAGTTTTTCGATTCAAAACCAAAATCCTACTATTGGGTTGGGGAGAATGAGTCGGCGCCGAAATTTAAAGAAACTTTTTGCACCCATAAAACCTTCTTTAAATACACGTTTTGTTTCATCAAAATGGTCCACTATTTCTTTACAAAATGGCTTTTGAGAGATTTCACAAAGCTTTTCTTTTTTGGGATTTTATGGATTCCCAAACACAGCTAATCAAAATGACAAAAAGTCCGACTCATTGCTTGAACAGTTTCTTCCACATAAACCTCCTTTGGTGTTTATATAAAAAAGATAGAGCACACTCAATTACATAAGTTACCAAATTTTCAGGAAGATCCCTCCAACCGTTTACTCTAGATGACAGTTTATCGATTTTGTGAAAAAAATGATCCTTTGTTGAGTTGAGGCGCTGTTTGAGTTCTCTTTTAAATATTATTTTGTAGAGAATTAGTTACCCTTCTACGGATATCAAACGCATATCATTTGACAAAGTCTGCTATAAGTTTTAGAAATTTCTTTGATTTTCGGCGCCGACTCATTCTCCCCAACCCAATACAAAAGAAGGAATCCGCAAATTGCCTGTAAAATGGGCAGAAGTCGTCAATAATAATGGAAATTATTTCGAATGAATTCATGGTTTTATGTTGAATAAATTTTAGTTCAAAGTCTGGCAGTTTTCAATTCACCAACCCAATACATGATTTATTGATCAAGTGAAAGAAAAAGAACGAAAAACGTAGTTCTTTTTGCTTTTAAAACTTTTAAAAGAGCCAATGTAATTGCCATTTCATTGCCAATGTCACTGCTCTTTTTAAGTTTTCGTGTAAACAAATAAGAGCTAAATTTTTTTGATTAAATTTAAAATCATTTTTAGTACGGAGACAACAAAAATAACAATAAAGGAGATAAAAATAATCCAATAAAAATTTGGAATTTTCCAATTTTTCAATCAGTCAGCGCTTTTTTTGATCGCTTTTTTTACAAATTCTAAACTGATATGTTCAAATATTTGTTGTTTTTTCGGTTCCCATTCACTTTTTGCTTGCTTCTCGTTGAAAATCGATCCTCAATAAGTGAAAGTTTTGAAGTTTGACGTTGTTTTGTACAATGAGCATTTCAGTCAAAAGAAATAAATGAAAAAAAAAGCGTTTGAAAACTCATTCTTTCAATTCTTCTCTGAGCTGAACAACTGAACGAGTTTGTGAGATTGAGATGTTTATTAAAACCTTTCAAATTCTTGAATTCACTTTTAAGATGAAACTTTGAACAGTCATTGCACGTTTACACGTTTGAGGATATTGGAAAATGAAGAAAACGTGGAAGCTGAATAAAAGCTGACAACTTTTATGCTAACTTTATTGTTTTTTGTTTTGAATTTTCTCAAAAATTACATTTCTTTATACAGACATTTAAGCAAAAAAAGCAAAAAGCAAAAAGAACGTAAAAATGGCAAAAATACAGTTGAAATCAGCTCCTCGCACTCACCGAACTCGATAAAAACTCCCGTTGATGGGTTTTTCGGGGTGGCAAGTTGAAGCTGACGATGATCAGACTGAAAATTCAGTCAGTAACCTTATCCCATACCTGCTTGCTCACCAATCCTTTTTTCAAAAATATGTAGACACAAAACCCAAGAAGAAAACCAGGGAGGAACCCCCAAGAAGATCGCGTCGATTTGATTTGGTAGCTTTTGTGCGTTTTAGTTGAAAGAGAATTGGTTAAGCTGAGTTTTAGCTAACTAGGGAACGATCAGATTTCGCAAGGGCGAATCCGAACCAAAGTTATATGAAGTCTTAAGACTTAAGACTTAAGCAAGTCGGACACGGGCAACAAAAGGATCCAAGGGGGATCGAACTCGGATACCAAAAATGGGAGACAGCGGGGGGCGCCACCACTGCACCACCAAGTCACTTCTTTGGTGGGCGACGGTAGCCCTTACAAACTTATAAGTCGCTTACTACACTCAAATTTCAAATGCATTTTTACAGAGATCTAGAGCGTTTGGGCAAAAACTAAAAACGCCATCGTGTTGCCCGTGTCCGACTTGCGTAAGTCATATAGCTTTGGTTCGGATTCGCGCTTGCGAAATCTCATCTTTCCCTAGTAAGTTTAAAAAGATTCGAAGACAATGGAGTGAAAGGGAGCCGAGAGAACAAAACTGTGAGAACCGAGAGAACAAGAGAACGAAACAAAACCAGGTGCAAAGGTAGTCGGGGGACCAATCTGTAAACGCATCTTGACATGTTGAAATTTTACACTGGGGGTTTTTGATGATGGTGAATCGATTGTTGATATTTTCAAACTATGATTTCTTGTTATTTTGATGTTATTACACATGAGGTTTGATGCTTTTTGCTCAGTTTTGAAGCTTGCTATACCTCTTCTGGGACAAAGTTGCCAAAAAACCTTTAGTTTTAAATGTTTTGTTGTCATCTTTTTTGTTATTGTTATTAAAGTTATTGTTGGATTCTTGTAAAATCAAAATAACAAGAAATCATAGTTTGAAAATATGACAAAATATAAAACTTCAACATGTCAAGATGAGTTTACAGATTGCCACCCAAGCAGGGTTGTTTCAAAAAGCCCGCAAAAGCGTGCCTGTGAAGTTTCCCCTTTGATTTGATCAATTTCCTAGAATTTCTAGAATTTCTGAAAGTTTTGCTCAAATCACTTCATTGGTTTTTAGAGATTTTCTATCCAAATTACCTTTAGTTTTTGAAAAAACCTCAATAACTTTTAGTTTTGCAACTCCCTTCCGCATAAACTTAGCTTAACTGATTTTAACCAATTCTCTTTCAACTAACAAAAGCTATCAAATACCAAAACACCCAAAATCATTCTAGAATTTTAAACCGCAAACATGGGCCGAAACTAGGAGAATTTTTATTTTTCAAAATTTCCTCCACCTCCAATATAGTGGACGATTTCCCCGTCTGGTTCCGCGCCACCGTTTGCTTGTTAAAGATGTAAAAAAAAGGTTGTTTTTGATAGCAAAAAAGCTCTAAAATTGTACTTTCAAAATCCGCTCTACCAGGAAAGAGGGAGAAATTTAAATAAAAAGAAAATCTTAAAAAGCCAAAAAAATTTTTGGAAGCGATTTTAGTTGAGTAAGGAAATTTTTTAGAATTTTCTCCAAGCAAGATCAGGAAGAGAATGTGGGGAGGAAGGTAAACTTGCAAAAGGGGGAAAAAAACTTATGCGGGACTCCGTCACGGTTCCATCATGGAATCGGCAAATGAAAAGAACTTTGGGGAACTTTTGTGCGGCCTACGGTAGCACTATTCATGCTCTAGAAAGCGCGCCGCTTTCTAAAGCAACTCGCTTCTCGCCAGTCCCTTAAAACAGCACGTCAATAGGAATATAACTATTCTTTTTTCTTTGGTATTTCTCCATAATTTCAACCTCATCGCGCAATGACCGATCATGGGTAAACCCTTCAAAAAGAAGAAACGACCATAGCCCATGAAGGGCCAATGCCATGCAAATGTGTGAATCGTCCCATCCCACAGCCAGATCACACCGGTCAACAACATCTTGAGCAATTTTGAACAATTTAACTCCGATCTCTCTTACCATCATTGACAATTTCAACTCGGCTCGACGCCTCAGCGCTGACGTACTGAACTGAAAAAAGTTTTATTGCCTTGCTACTGCTGCTCGTTGATCTTTGATCTTAGACTGAGTACTATGTGCTGCTATGCTATCTTCATTGACCGTTTTAGAAGCGGCGAATCGGCCAAAACACAAAACGGTTTGTTTTATCGAAAATCTTCTAACTTTTTTCTACAAAATGCTTCTCAAAGTTTTTTAAAAAGTGTTTGTTTGAAGAGATTTCAAGTAGCGAGAAGGTGAGTTGTCAAAATCGCATAACAGAGACCCTTTCTTTCACAGAAACCTATTTTGGTGTCCTCAGAGTCAGCATTAAAAATTAGATACATTGATTCTCATTCAAAAGCCGGCTTTAGTTCCGCACTTTTTCTTAGTACTCTTTTGCCGAAATTTCATTGGACTGTTGTGATGTCATCAAACACTTTCACATACATTTTAAATTGAGTACCAAGCGTTAATATTGCTATCTTCATTGACCGCTTTAGAAGCGGTGAATCGA